TCGTATCCCAACTGCATAGATCGATGCTCATGCTGTTGATCACTGGATTGTCTGGTCCAGACTCCATTATTAACAGGCCACCGTCATATAGTTGGAATAATGCTGAGTGTGGCGTTAAAAACAACAAACCAACTAACCACCATTGTAAGGTCTTGTTTCAGCTCCTGCTTGTGTCCTGGAGATGACCTCCCCAGGTCTTGTACTGGAGTGTAAGGCTGTACTGAAGCCTTTCAGATCAATTGGACACATACAGACATGAAAGAACACACACATTCATTAGGTTTATTCACATTGCAAGTCTTTAACCTTCCACCACGATAATCTTTCATTGATAATAATCCTATTTACATAACCAGGACTATATCTGCAGTGTGGCCCAAGTACAATAGTTCATTAATACACTATCAGTAATACATGCTTTAGATAACAAATTATAGATCTAAACAAGAAGTTCTATTGGAATATGTACAACAGGAATTCAGTATTTTACAATGTGTATCACAATGCAGTTTATCACAGAATGCAGGGTGAAATACAGACTTCTGTAACACTTCCTTGATCCTGCCACAGGTGCCACTCATTATCAAACTGACATATCAAAATGCTGATTTCAAACAGCATCGGACATGCAAGCCTGTAGTCAAGGAGAAATGAAAGCATTTCTGAATCAAATAAGTTCCCATACTAGTAATTACACCATGCCTTTAAAAATATTATCTGAAACCGTTTCAAATTTGGGCAACACATTTTTCCATTCAAGTTGAAATCATGAAACTTTCACCATCAAACACCAAATTCCATATAAAAATATGTAGTTAAAAGGCATACAGTTTTACAAACTCAAAACATAACACTCCTGTGATTTTGCAGTTTATGGATTATATATAACGGCTAATATCATAATATGAAAATGACTAGGAATAGTTACTTCTATTCTTTCACAAACACAATTTAAGATGGTCAAGATGGACTACAAAACATAACTTTTGAGAAAATGAAGACTTCTCCCTCAATACACCACAATGTGTCAAGCCACTTTCTAGCGCTCCCTGCCATAATATTGCTGGAATATTGCTTTAAAGCGGCATACAAACCAACTCACTCATTACTTCATTACACAACGTATGAAGAGAACAAAGCCTTCTCTGACATAGTAACGACATAAACATATTACTTAATACATATCAAATACATGTATCATGCAGAGCATTAGCACTTCATATATTCTACTGCAAAAACAAATGAAAAACTTAAATGCCAAACAAACATTCGTAGCATGTGAGTTACACAAATTATTTCATCCTACCCATGTCATTGGTTAGGAAAACCCTGTACACCATCAAATGGAAAAACATTATCCTCGGTACAGAGTTTTTAAGGACAATACTCATTGTTTATCTCAAGTCCATCGGTCCATAGAATGTGGGCAACCAGGAATATATATAGAGTCAAAGCTAAAATGGAACCTCTAACTAGAGAAACAGCAAACCCATACGTCTTTCAAACAAAACATCTGGTAACAGTATATAAACAGCCATTCATGTTGTGTGTTAAAAAACAGTGCAGTTTACAAACGTTGTGACATATTTTCCCCCCAATCTCCTTGACCTCCGAAGATACTATAACAAGGACATGATACCACATGATGTTTGTAGATATAGTTCATGCATCTTCTCTACACAATACATTCCTCCATCACCGACAGAGAGGAGAACTTGGGGTAAGAAGCACTCAGATCATACTGGCAATATTTCCTGCAACTTGTACAATAGCCTAGCAGTATCTGATCCACACATTGTTTCAGTTTCAGGCATTGTTCGGGTTCAAACCACGTTCAGGCACAGATCCTGACCATTTCATTCTGTGAATTCTGCATGGTCTTACTGGCAAACAAGGATAAGTTGAGCACCAACCTGACAATTGACCCGTATTAGCATGTATGAGTGCCTCCTTCTGGCGCTTGCCATTGTTAGCGAAGGGGCCCCAGGTTGTCCGCGATCAAGTGTAGTGCGACTTGCTACACCGACGTGAGGAGCTTATGAGCAAGGCGTGTGCAGCTACGCGCGGAATCAATTTCATCGTCATGCAATGCACGTGCACTAGCCTACATCTGCTCTACCTTTCACAAACCAAATGGGTTTGCTCATTGCCGTGCACTGCCTACTTCTCGTAAACGCGTTCTCTGCGCCGGTCCAACTTATCCTTGTTTGCCAGTAGTTCATTACTTAAACAGAAACAGTTCCACAATTACACCTCGTGGTGCGAGTGAGGAAGGAACGTAGCATATACAAACCTAACAGTATTGAAGATAAAGTTGTTGAAACAGGAATATAAAATACAGAGCAATGAGCTGATTAAATGACTGTAAGATTCTGAGCTGATTTTAGCTGTAATATGGGAGTAACATGGCAAAATGGGGGTCACTCAATGTACTATCCTCATAAAAATCGGGCTTTAGGCCTTAAGCAGTTGTCTTGGATTTGCAGTTTGTTCAGCTTGGATTCTACATATGCATGACCCGACAAATGGCACAAACAGCAGGCCGAGTTAACTTCATTAAATAAGGGAGCAGAAATGTACATGACATTAAACCATCTGTAGCTAAGAAAGTTAGGACATTGGTGAAGATTTCTCAAATGAGATGTCAAACGCGCTCCTTGTTTTGGCTGTTGGGACATGTTGACAATCAACTGACAAAGGTGCACCCTAACCTCAGGTCAAGCTGAACAAGCTGTAAATGATTGGCGCTCAGCTGGGGGATTTAGGAACAGTAAGCAGCCGTGAGGGGAACAAACAGATATGCCATTCGATTAAGTAAATGTAATATTGGACAAAAAAGTAAAAAGAAGCCTCTAAGAAAAAGACAGGAAGATGAAATGAAGGTGAAACTTAAACAGACATCCATCATCAGTGACAATATCAAGTCAGTATCATTCTCCGACATCAGTTTGTGAACTGAATTAGGACTTGACTAGTAGAAAAACCTTTAAGTCAAGTATCTGTCATAAATCCATCCTGGACACCATTTCGACACTAATATGCCACATAACACACATTTTATCACCTTTCTTAGCATTATCTATGTCAAAATATCATACACTGAAATGTTTCAATACATTCAATATGCTTCTTCTTGAAGTGACAATGGGAGTGATCTCCCCTATCTGGTTTCATGAAACCTTGGCACAGGACTCTAATCCATCAAATCTGACCCTTGCTTGAATACTCAAGGACCAATCAGATCCCTATTCTGATTTCTAGACAGATTTGTCTGTTCTGAATGTAGTTTTCATGTATTGCATGACCACAGACAGCTGACAACTCACACCTGATGTTGTTACCATGGGCAAATAACTTGACTCCATGTCAGTTCTGTGTACTACATCTATGAAAGTGTGTTGAGTCAAAGACTTGCTCATGTTTAATAATTCCATAACATGCCAAGAAAACCCCAAATCAGTATTCTGACATATCTTAGCTCCATGTATTTGTACATTTGGTGTTGTTTACAATGGTTTAAATCCACAATACACAAGTGTTGAAAGATGCAATAGTTATTTCTCAATTAAAAGAACAAACTTGATCACAATAACAATTGCAAAAGGGTCTGTTCTTTCATTAATCACAAATATCAGATGATAAAACCAAAATCACTTGCAACAACAATGTTGCAAAAGCCTGTCCTGTCATCCAGATGAACACCACTTGACCCTCAGACCTGTGCTGCCAAAATGTCCTGATTGTCCATGGAGTAATAATGTATAACTACCAAGGTAATAATGGTAGCGCCTCTGTTCTGTAGCCACTCCCCTGATTAGTCCATGGAGTAATAATGTATAACTACCAAGGTAATAATGGTAGCGCCTCTGTTCTGTAGCCACTCTCCTGATTAGTCCATGGAGTAATAATGTATAACTACCAAGGTAATAATGGTAGTGCCTCTGTTCTGTAGCCACTCTCCTGATTAGTCCATGGAGTAGTAATGTATAACTACCAAGGTAATAATGGTAGCGCCCCTGTTCTGTAGCCACTCCCCTGATAAGTCCATGGAGTAATAATGTATAACTACCAAGGTAATAATGGTAGTGCCTCTGTTCTGTAGCCACTCCCCTGATAAGTCCATGGAGTAATAATGTATAACTACCCAGGTAATAATGGTAGTGCCTCTGTTCTGTAGCCACTCCCCTGATAAGTCCATGGAGTAATAATGTATAACTACCAAGGTAATAATGGTAGTGCCTCTGTTCTGTAGCCGCTCTCCTGATTAGTCCATGGAGTAATAATGTATAACTACCAAGGTAATAATGGTAGTGCCTCTGTTCTGTAGCCACTCTCCTGATTAGTCCATGGAGTAATAATGTATAACTACCAAGGTAATAATGGTAGCTCCTCTGTTCTGTAGCCTCTCCCCTGATAAGTCCATGGAGTAATAATGTATAACTACCAAGGTAATAATAGTAGTGCCTCTGTTCTGTAGCCACTCCCCTGATAAGTCCATGGAGTAATAATGTATAACTACCAAGGTAATAATGGTAGTGCCTCTGTTCTGTAGCCACTCTCCTGCTTAGTCCATGGAGTAATAATGTATAACTACCAAGGTAATAATGGTAGTGCCTCTGTTCTGTAGCCACTCTCCTGATTAGTCCATGGAGTAATAATGTATAACTACCAAGGTAATAATGGTAGCGCCTCTGTTCTGTAGCCACTCCCCTGATAAGTCCATGGAGTAATAATGTATAACTACCAAGGTAATAATAGTAGTGCCTCTGTTCTGTAGCCACTCCCTGATAAGTCCATGGAGTAATAATGTCTACCAAGGTAATAATGGTAGTGCCTCTGTTCTGTAGCCGCTCTCCTGCTTAGTCCATGGAGTAATAATGTATAACTACCAAGGTAATAATGGTAGTGCCTCTGTTCTGTAGCCACTCTCCTGATTAGTCCATGGAGTAATAATGTATAACTACCAAGGTAATAATGGTAGCCTCTGTTCTGTAGCCGCTCTCCTGCTTAGTCCATGGAGTAATAATGTATAACTACCAAGGTAATAATGGTAGTGCCTCTGTTCTGTAGCCACTCTCCTGCTTAGTCCATGGAGTAATAATGTATAACTACAAAGGTAATAATGGTAGCGCCTCTGTTCTGTAGTTTGTCATATTCCACAGACATTCCATGAAGTAACACTATGTAATGATCCAGTGAAAACGGTAGCACCTGGGTTTTCACTCCATATCTTCTCCCATGTCAAGGTAGACATCATACGCCTCGCGGTTACAGTTGCCATCAGATGTAAACACGTATTTGTGGAATGTTCCGTCAACACACACAGCTGAAATTAATCAAGGGCAGATAACTCATTAGAGTCAACATGTACATATTTCAAATGTAAGAAACAATGTTTACTTTCAAGGATGAGAATGGACTGTCATATACACTTGAAAACAATACAATTTGAAATATTAGATTAAAGATTAAACCATATGTTTATCTAATCATAATCAACCAATGGAAATACCGCCAGTATTTATTTTGCAATTATAACTTTCACAGGTACAAACCTCAACCAGGCATAGATAATAAGTGATTAAGTCGTAAAAGTCTTAATTAAAGGGTAAGCACAGAAGAGAAAGACCAAAGTCCAATATATGGATTGATGGATTGAAGTTTCAAGTTCAGGTGACCATTTCTTTTGGGATCATGTGAGCAAATGCAGCTGTTAGTGGTATTAAGTATTATCATGTCAGCCTGTAAGTAATTCAGTCTGGATCAGGAAAATGAGCAACATTCCATGCCATAAGGGCTCAGTGACACTTAATCAGCCACATAATAAGCATCTAATCCCATCAATAATCTACCATTAATTTGGAAAATACTGGTAGTCTGTTCAGATTCATCAATCAGAGGTTTCAAACCACCATAATGACCTCTGGTTGAAACAGCCAATTTGCATTCTGCTAATGCTAATGTTTATAGGTAAGTACTTCATTCCCAGTCATTGCTGGACAGCAATTCAAGTAGTAATCTGTACAATAACAGCTGCCATGGTGGAATGGAGATTAGTTAAGTCAAGCTGATGGTTCCCTAGCTCTAAACTGAAACTACAATATGTTAATCTGGCAATCTATGTATTTGGAATAATTACCATGCACAAACCAAGTCAGTGAGTCTCAGTGAGATTTCTGACTGACAACTAGTGTTGGGAATTGGTTAAAATGTCATAATTGATGATTGGTTCATTACCACCGATCAATCATCGAAAATAATTGGTTAGCGTCATTTATGAAATTTGTTAATGCACAAAAATGTATGGAAAAAACATGTAATTATTTTGGGGTTTTTGGGGGCAAAATTTCACATCTTTAAAGGATGACTAGTATGTAAGGAACATAAATTTCTTAGAGTCTTTAAGATAAATTCATTGATGACTTGGAACAAGCTTGTAGTGCTTATGAAATGTAACAGACAAAACCAACCTTGTGAAAAATGTAATTTTTAGAGTAAAATTGATATTTTATACTTATCCTGACTCATGCTTATTGCTTGTCTTCTTCTTCTTGCGAACATAGTGGAACACGTGTATCTCCCAATTGAAGTTCCCTTCAATTAAAAAATCACTAATTAGCACTCACTACGAGTTACCTCCCTTACACAAGCGCGGGAACGAGGGCGCCACCTCAACCCATGTGCCTCACTCTCTCCTCATATACTGAGCCCAACACTTGAATTTCCAGGGAAATCCAAAGTGTTATGTGGGGAGGATGGGAGGGCTTACCTCATGAGTCAGGATAAGTATAAAATATCAATTTTACTCAAAAAATTACATATTTTTCCTTATCCTGACTCATGCTTATTGCTTGTAGAATCCGACGGAAAAGGAGGTGGGAATATATAATACTTTGGATTTTAATAATTAGTGATTTGAACTGTGATGATTGTAATAACCCTATGGGAACTTCATAAAGGCACTGAACTGATGAATTCCTGCTGCTAACTTATCAGCTGCCATATAAAGGTTATTACAATTTACTTATTATGATAAAAGTATATATAACATTAATACAATGCTTAAGACTAATAGACTTAAGCTTGTTAATATGATAGCATAAACTCCTTAGAGTTTGTTAGCTAAAATACTTTTATGATATAAACATAGTACTGAGCTTAAGATATGATTAAACTTAAGCTAAATATATAATAGCAAAAACTCCTTAGAGTTTATTAGCTAATATACTTTTATGAAGTAAACATAGTACTAAGCTTAAGATATGAATAAAACTTAAGCTATATATATAATAGCAAAACTTCGTAGAGTTTGTTAGCTAATATATTTTATGATATGAGTATAGTACTGTGCTTAAGATATAATTAACTTAAGCTACCTAAATAGCCCAAAAACTCCGTACAGTTTGATAGCTATTACATTTTATAATGTAGCCATAATGCTTAAGATATGATGAAACTTAAGCTAAATATATAATAGCAAAAACTCTTTAGAGTTTGTTAGCTAATATACTTATATGATATAAACATAGTACTGAGCTTAAGATATGAATAAACTTAAGCTACATATATAATAGCCAAAACTCCGTAGAGTTTGTTAGCTAATACATGTTATAATGTAACCATAATGCATACGATATGATGAAACTTAAGCTACATATATAATAGCAAAAAACTCTGTAGAGTTTGTTAGCTAATATATTTTTATGATATGAGTATAGTACTGTGCTTAAGATATAATTAACTTAAGCTACATATATAATAGCAAAAACTCTGTAGAGTTTGTTAGCTAATACATTTATAATGTAACCATAGTACTGAGCTTAAGATATGATTAACTTAAGCTAAATATATAATAACAAACTCCGTAGAGTTGTTAGCTTATATATTGTATGATATAATAACCATAGTACTGAGCTTAAGATAATAAAAGAACTTAAGCAAAATATATATAGCATGTAGCTATTTAGTACTGTTATAAGATAAGTAGAAATCTGTAAGATGGACTTATCTTCTCCGAGGAACTGTCAACTGTTGTGCGAGGACCATGGGACCGAATTGGTGGATACCTGAGACGTCCTCGGTGGTGATATCTCTCAGATAGTGGTTGGCAAACACCATATCGGATCTCCAGAATTAACCCTCCATTATGGTATTTCAATAGCACTTGTCGTGTAGAGCAAGTGTAGATGTTAGCGCTCTATTATCATGAGGATTAGAAGCTCTTGGAGGGTCGAGTCCTGCAGTCTTGTATGTAGGCACGTAGTATGACAGTTCTGATCCAAAAGGAGATAGTAGTACGTGAGACTTCAGTCTGCGTAGCTTGTTGATAGAGGAAATAAATCTCTTGAATTTTTCCCTCCTGTTTGGCTCGGTGGAGATATATTTTCAGTGCTCTTACTGGCCATCGTGATAGATTCATTGTATCATGGGGTCCAAGTATATCATCAAAGCGTGTTCATAAACCTCACTTGTGAGGTGTTGGAGCACTATATTCAGATCCCAAGTTGGAGCGTGAAACTTCCGTTTTAATCCTCCAATCGGAAAGATCGTAGCAAGGCGAGTAACTGGGTTTAGGTTAACTTGACGCCTGTTCTCAGTTATGACAGAGCTATTGCTGCAAGATAGGTGGACAAGTTGAGCCTTATAAAATCTTAGTCTGACGTAGATAACATAAGTAGTCAGCCACTTGAGGATGAGTAGCATATCTAGCTGTAAATCCTTCCTTTGCAGCATAATTGACAAAACTGTGCCATTTGTCATCGTATAAGTTGCAAGTTGAGTTACGCAGGGCAAGCTAGACTGCTTTGCGGCTCTGGCTGAATAACTTGTTATTCAGACACACTTATGATACAATCCATACGTGAAGTTGGAATATATCTGGCTTTCCGTGCGCTTGTTTGGTGTGCAGATGTATTAACAGATTCGAGCACTCTGTAAGATGTAGTATTGGTTGTCCGATTTCTTGAATAAGAGTTGGAAACCACGTTCTCGCTGGTCAGTAGGCCGCGACCAAATTCAGATGGAGGCTCTGCGTTTGACTGATTTTGAGTAAACTTGTGAGATTAACGCTGGTGGCGGAAAAGCGTACGCGTTGAGTCCTTCCCACGATATGCTTAGTGCGTCTGTTGCCAATGCTAGTGGGTCTGGAACTGGCGATACGAATGTTGTGTAGTGTAGTTCCTATTTCCTTGATAATTTGAGTGAATATCGCTGTATGAGCATTCATTCTGTCAGCGATGGTATGTGTGGCCGAGAGAGAGCGTCTGCTATCACATTCTTTGCTCCTGGAATGTGATATGCTCTGACATGTATGTTGAGATTGTCGATTAAATCGAACAATTGAAAACATAGAGTCGATAGGTTCGGGGACCTGGTTGAGCTTAGTTTGTTCACATAAAACGCCACTGTCGAATTGACTGTGTGAATCATCCACTGGGTATACTGTAGTAAGTTGCTCCAGTGCATTAAGGCGTTTATTACTGCTTGCATCTCTAGCAGATTTATGTGTAATTTGCTCTCTTGATTGCTCATAGCCCTGATGCCGTCCTGTTGGCAAGATGGGCTCCCCAACCTTGTAGTGACACATCTACGTAGAGAAGTGTTATCGATTCCAGCTCTATTAACGAGGCAGCCTATTCAAACATTCGATCTCTTGGTCCACCATAGTAGATGAGGTTTGACCTGAACCGATAAATTGAACGGTAGAGATTCGTCTAGATGCTAATTGATGATGACTTGTAACGGATGTAATTGTAGTCTGCCTGTCTGCCTTGAGCTGAAGTGCGTAACCCGAACAGGCTCTGCCACTGTCGTAGTGGTAGCGGAGATAGTAAGGCTTGTGGGATTGACTGTTGGATCTTGATCCATGGTCCTCCGGTACAATTATACGATTCTTCGCCGTTACAAATCAAAAACCTAGAATTAGCAGATGTTGCGAATGTTCTAGGTCCAACTTAAGTAGGTTTACTAACCATCTAGTTGTGTTAGTAGCTTGATGATGAATTCAACTGTAGTCTGAGACGTTATGGATTTGGATCCACTTGTATCCCGTCGTCGAGGTAAATTCGCTGCAAAGTCCTTGACGATGTAGGTGCACAACCAAGGGTGACTGCCATCGTTGAACTTTATGTAAAAAACCCGCCTGACTGCCGTGCCCTCGTCCTTACTTGACAGGGGAGGTCTCTAACCTCAAGAAGGCAGCCCAATCATGAAGGTTCAGATTAGCTGGACTGTAAGGAGGCTTGCTCGTTCACTGATATATTGTTGTCACTTGCAACCTATGTCTTGAACTGTGAACTATGATCGACCTCTGCGTAGGGCGTTGTCCATCTCGGTCCAATCAGAACAAGGCATTCTGATTCTGTAGAGTACCCGCGCTGTGATGTCACCGGTGTAGCAGGAAAAGGAACCTTGTATAATATAGTGCCGACGTTGATATTACAACAATCGTCGGTCTTCCCGTAACTTCGAAGTTACCCGAAAAGACCACGTGTTTCGAGGGTTAATGGTAAACGCGCGAAACCTCCGGCGTGAAATACCTCGCTCTGTAATATTAATGCTGGGTAGGTTATTTTCCAGGCTGTCGTGAAAGTAACTTCAGTCTTGAAGATAATTCCGACTTTCTTATATAAGGTTCAATAAAACTTGCAAGTTGTCAGCTTGTAGACTGTTAAAGCTGAACTTGTTGTACATATTTCTTCTCAGGAAATCGTTGACGATTATGAGTTTTACTCACTGTAACAAGGCTGCTGTTCAATTTCGTTATTGAATTGTCTGCAGATCTGCGTAATGGTCACGCATGTAGATAATCGTATCGTAGTCCGGGATTGCATACCTAGCAATCTATACGGAATTGTTGATACCTGTGAAGGTCTACAAAACGTCGTTGATGCCCTTGATGTAGGTAGTCGGCTTGAAGATCCTTAATTAGGCTCTTCATCTGTTGATAAAATAATACAGCGACTTTCGGTGTTGTAAATAGCCTGTGCAATTGTCTTCGCGTAGGCTTGTAGACGGCCTATGGCATACAGTTGATAGACAACTCATGCGATGTCTTGAACGGACTGACGAGTGGCTATATATGACGAGTGGCTAGTATATGGAGACCTTGGAGAAGACTTCACGGCTGACGCCCGGGGACTTCGCGAAGATCTCGAAGTATCCCTTCTAGATCTTCTGGGTGAAGTAGGCTTGGAGCCACTTAGCCTTAGCGACCTTTCGCGAAAGTATCGAGTCAGAGTCCGATCAATATATGAGCTTGCTTCATGAATCGACCTCTGTGTTCTACAGGGTGTGGGCTCGGCCGGCGCTCCTTCTCCGCGATGTCCCTACGCGCAACTGGTGAGGCTCTAGCTCCTTCGGGCGGGCTGGGACTTCCTTAGCGAACTTCCGATAATATATGAAGTGTTCGCGACCTCTGTGTTCACAGGGTGTGGGCTCGGCGGCCGCTCCTTCTCCGCGATTTTCCCTCGCCCAACTAGCGAGGCTCTAGGCTCTGGGGCCTCGCTGGCTGACCTGGGACTTCCATAGCGAAGTGTTAAGCTACGGGCATGGTTGCTGGGGCCCTGTATCTGACTTATTATGGGCTCTGGGGCCCTGTATGACTTATTATGGGTTGGGCTCTGGGGCCCGTGGCTCTGGGGCCTCTGTAAACCGTAACGGTCCTCCATCAGTCTCATGATTTGGTTGACCAGGTCGTCTGAGATGGTCTGCGCTGGCGTTGAGGGTGTCCTCTCTGTGATAGTGACGGGACCCTCAGTTATAATCTCCGGCGTCAGCGTAGGCATCTCTGGTTGCATGTTGATCTGCGCTGAAGTGACGGTAGCCGATACTAGTCACTTCTTATGACGTACATCTGGAATAATAATCGGAATGTCATCATCATATAAACATAATTCTGAATATCAGAAGCAAAGTTTTTTGGGGTTTTTTGTTTTTTTTAGTAGCCTTCGTGGATTTCCCTTTTGACGAAGCTGTAGACCTGGGGGTTCGGAGCGTACGTTGAGACGACGTGGAAGCTCTTCTAGTCTTAGACTGTGATGAAGGAACGTCCTGGGATGCAGGTCGCTTCTAGGATATAGCGGACTGCGTCCCACGCTTATCCCCCGAAGGTAACCCAGGATATATCTGACTCTGATCTATTAGCCATGACTGAAGATTGTTTCCGAGATTTATCTGCCTTCCGTCTCAAAACGGAACATAAATATTTATCAAAGGCAGAAATTGGTAAATTAATACATAATTTACAACGAGAAACAATAGAACATGGAGTAATGCAACTAGGGCATTTTAAATGTGGATCGGTAGCGGAATAACGTAGTTTACAACCTGTGCAGATTCTCATTAACGTAAACTGCTGAACAAACACGGCGAACCGTGAATAAAACAGCAGAAACACGACTAATAATCAATGCAAGTTGAATAAGGATACTAGTTACACCTCTATAAATGAATATAAGAGGTACTAAACTAAATATAAATAAAGGATATAGTGTGTCGGGAGACACAGGTGCTCTCACGCGTCCAGCTCACTGGGCGAAGAAGGAGAGAGTGAGGCACATGGGTTGAGGTGGCGCCCTCGTTCCCGCGCTTGTGTAAGGGAGGTAACTCGTAGTGAGTGCTAATTAGTGATTTTTTAATTGAAGGGAACTTCAATTGGGAGATACACGTGTTCCACTATGTTCGCAAGAAGAAGAAGACAAGCAATAAGCATGAGTCAGGATAAGGAAAAATATATTGTTGATGAAAACAAGTGTTCCAGAATTGTTTGTGTTCGATTATGAGAAAACATGATCGATTGCTTGGTTGTTTAGTCACTGCGACCAATCTACGATTATTTCAATTAATCGGATCACCACTACTGACAACAGTGTTCTTACCTATAACAGAACTGGAGGAACCGAAGGCGCAGATACAGGCACACTCAGCAGCTACGGTGAAACTGGCCAAACCCCACTGAGATTCCACATAGGGACCAAGGAAGCCCATCTTCTTGAATCTGAAACAGAAATGAATCTCAAGCGGTCAGAGACAACCAACCTATGTTCAAGAGCATAAATGGGCTTTCCAACTCCCCTCAGACTTACTACTGCAAAGGAATGTTGCCTGGATCTTTGATTACCCAGTGTATGGAATCTCAGTTCTGTTATGATAGATAACTTGGATCAGGCCCCAATTTCTCGAAACAAACTTAAGTTTTTACTCATATCTAAAATTGAGTTTGACAATTTGAAACAGCTGAATTTTTAACTCAACTGCATTTTTAAAAATACAAAAGCACAAACAACTTCAGTAATCTATCCACCAAACTCAAAATGTGTACTATGTTTGCGTTTAATATTGATTTCAGTTTATTCTGGGAAATGCATTTTCCTGCGTTTTCTCAAATTTGAGTAAAACTAAAAACTCAGACTTGAGGTTGTTTCGAGAAATCGGGGGCCTGGTCACTGCCACAGCTTCATTTAAGTCACAATCTAAAACTGATTTGAATGAACAACTCTAAAATAGACAGCCATGTTTACTGTTCTTCCATGGCTGACCAGTACTCATGTAAACTATTGTGTGAAGTCCTCAATGCCACTAGAGCATCTTGTAGTACAATGACATTCCTTTCTTCTGTCTAAAATATCGAAACATCTTTTCCAGCTAAAACTGATCTAAAGCTTCTGAATTGTCATAGTGTAGCAGCTTAATGTTAGAAAGACAGCCAAAGCAAATTAGCAGTTTGGTAGAACCTTTAAGCACAGGTTGGGTGCTGACAGACCAAACCCACATTCAGATTCTCACATGGAATTTAAGGGACATCTGAGCCCCTGTTGGTTGGCCATCACTCCAGGTACTACCCATTCCTCCAACTGAAGTCAGCAGACTATTGACCAGTGAATGATTTCTCTGATTAATGGTATAACAGTATCCCCTTTTCTGTGATGCTATTAATTCTATGTTGAGTTGTATACAAAACAGGGCCTGTACTCACGTTGATGTCCTGTTGAGTTTTGTGTCTTTCACAGCAAATATATGTACAGTCCCCTTGTCACTTGAAGCACATAGGAACGCTGAGTCAGCACTGAAGGAGATGCTGAAAACATACATACAAATATTTAAGTGTAGATAAGGGTCCAGTGACTCTCAATATAAAAATGATAAGTCTCTATTATCTTCTAGCCAAGAGTGTTTGTATGTTAATTACACTAAAAGATTAAGTCTAAGCAAAAAAGAGATAGAAGTAAGTTACTGACTTGTCAATCCAAGAAACGTACCTTCTTGTAACTAATTTTTATTTATTTAATCCAATTAACATGACAATTAACAAGATACAAACATTTTACTTTTAATCTGACAACTCTAAAGATTTGGCAAAAATATACATCTAAATCATTATGTACACTAGGGATTTAATTTCCAAGCACCAACTAACCAGTATAAGACAGCTGGGTCCGCACCTCGCCGCAGCTCAACCACAAGCTTCTTGGTAGCTACATCAAATACTCGGATCAGGGTCCCCTGAATACATATAACACATACCGGTATAGTAGACATAGGGCGATTGTTTGTTTTGATGAAACACTCATATTAATAAAATCTAAATATTTTATATATTTGTATACTTATTATTAAAAATTTCATATCTCATAGTCACAATATGCCTCCAAGCTACAAGGATCGCTACACTGTCTGTCCTGAGTGGTCAATTTTGTTCCAAGTCTTGGCAAGGAACTTTCAACGGCAGTTTAACAGGAACAGATAATCTGTAAGTCCAAGGCATGAGTAGATTAGTCTTGATATTACCCAGAACTGTTTTATAGAAAAATGTAGGAAAACCGTTTCCTCATCTCGAGTTGAGACATCAGCTGTTTTGGAATGCTGCCACAAAAAGTTGCTGGTGGTATTGTGAACAACAAATCGCATCCTCTTTAATCATTTACAACCCTTTGACAACACATTGCTATGCCCCGGCCTCTTTACACACAGTGATAATAATGGAACAATTGTCATGAACTAACAAACTGTAAAAGTAATGTCCCTTTGCAGAACATTAAAACTAGTGTATATACTGTTAAATCTGAAAATAAACCCCAAGCACATGGAAACATACTTTGATTTATCTTTCGGAACCAAAACAAATCTGAAAAAAACTTTAATATTTTATTTCATTCCCCACTATTTACAAATACTTTTGACTAAAAACTCTGCGAACACACAAAAAAATAGCCCTGTCCTAAAGTAAGCCCTGAAACTAAAGACATCACCAAGTAAGCATGCTGACCTTCCGTGAGGCTGTTGCCAGGAGCTTGCCCTTTTGGTCCAGTGCTAGACAGGCCAGCTCACTCTGGTGGGTATTGATGGTGACAGGAGACACGGTGTGTTCCGGCTGTGTCATCTCCAGGTCCTAGATGCTCAACAGTAAATGAATGAATTCAGATTCATGCTACTTTGGGTGGGATTCAGTTAAATCATGGTGTGTCAGCTTCATGCGTGAAGAAAACCAGCAGTGGTGCCATTTGATGTTTACCATGAGCATGTGCCTGGTGCTGCAAGATCAAGACTATAATCAAGGCTAATAAGTGAGTAATCAGGATTACAGGTTCCTGACACAACTAAGGGACTCAACTCTTTACACAGAACAGACATGATAGTGTAACCATAACAATTAGTTTATTATTTCCAATATTCACAACTAGGATCTAATGTACAATGTCATCTGATTGCATTATGGGCCGATGGCCTCTTTACGGATTAAAAACATGTCTGTCTGTCTGTCTGTCTGTCTGTCTGTCTGTCTGTCTGTCTGTCTGTCTGTCTGTCTGATGTACAATAACACTGATTTCAATGCTTTCATTTGATTACAAGATGCACAGGGGGAACAAGTGACCCTGTCACCTCGGGCACAGTAATCCTCTGTTCAGGATTGTGTCATTAGGGCACACCAGACACCTGTGACTGTGGGTTCAAATCCTGCTTCACCTCTGTTACGTTTCTGGGGTTGTCAGTATAGTTCCGTCTCCTATTCTCGCGGTAAACACGTCTTCTGCTGATATCGCCGATGCGCGACACCGAGCAGTTGTTAACCTTTCCGACCGGTAAGTAGGAAGAGGCCCAAGTCTGCGAGTGATCAAAATCTTACAATGTCGCGAATATTTGTGCGTTTATACCATCTTGGACGTATCGTAACTTTTTCCTGCCCTTTCTGGCAGGATTGGTCTTCCATACTTGCCATAACGTTACTTCCTCGTTATACTGCAAGAATGGGAGAAGCCTCATTTTGTCAGTGGCAGATGGCATTGTTTATCACCGGGCTCACAAATGGTAATTCACCAGATGGATCTAGCAGCTAATAGATGCAGATGTTAGAGGAGAAGGCCTTTCATTTATAAAAAAAAAGCATTCATGTGTTTGTGCTATTTTTTCAGCTGATATCCATAAGTACCGCGAGAATAGGATTGGGTTTCGCCAATAAGACGAACGTCTGAGTCCTGCAACACTGGCACATGGCGAAAGGATCTGGATGCCCATCAATCAGTGCAAATTTGATCCAAGTCAACCAGAAGCCACTTTATTTGACTTTACGATGCCATTCAATCCAGCCAGTGTGGATCCTCTTTTTATAGAGGTACAATGTGTCTTTTATTCCACAAACGTTCCAACTTGTAAACTGGACATTGTCTTCGGGTTGTGGAACATGGTCCCTGTATCTTATAATTGCAAAATCCATCTCGGATACGTCATCAAAATGTCATTGGCTTCACTTATACTGTGTCTTTTTCTACCACCTTTGAATATCTAGAGCCACATTTTGGTGTAGTCTTTGTTTAACCAATTAATCTAGCAAAGGTTGGGTTTCCCCACAGAAGCTCAGACCAGTGAGTGCTCAGCATACATTGCATTTCTTAGATGTCAAGAAAATTTCATCGACAGAGTAGCAGTTATTTGATTTCTATGGCTAACAAACAGTCACACTGCATCAGCTTTATCTTAAACAGACACAAGACGTCAGTCCAGCAATACGCACTGATCTCAGCAGTTGGGATACAATGATATGCATCAACTAAGTCAGTTAGCCTAACCACTCGATCCCGTTAGTCGCCTCTTATGACAACCAGGAGTTACTGAAGACCAATTCTAACCCAGATCTTCATGGATCACATACAACCAACAAGTGGACATCTACTTACCACAACCTGCACACTACCACACTTGTGGCCCGGGAACACCAGCGTCCGACCGAATGGACTCACTTCTACCAATCCTGAACACAAACATAAACAAACACTATATGATCTTGTAAACAGCACCTTGAGCATGTACTAGTTGTGTGGGTATGTGTTATATAAATATCCTATAATAAGGATAAACTAATACACATGCAATGATACAATCATACTTTGCTTAAATCACAGAGCAGGACTCGACACAACACCTCAAGCAGACGTCAAGATACTGGAGACAACACCAGAATCAAACGACCTCCAGAGATAGTGTGTTGCTACAAATTCTTCCAACGTTTCATATGGTTACTGAGATGATTCATACAAATGTATTATGATAACTAAATATTTCAGTGAATCCTTGAATATGTATCTGTTTCAAGATTTCTGAGGTATGTGAGCATGATAAACTTCTACAAATACATAATGGCGGTATAAAAAAGCAAAATATTTCATGAACTTGACAAATCTGTCAAACTTCAAGGCCAGATACAACTGAGACTTTGCCTACCTCTGGGGTTGTCCCTGGTGTCAAAACTGCAGAGTTTCTGTGGGTTGTTTGGGAATGAGAACACATGGACCTGGTTCCTCAGAACAACGATCAGCCTGGTTGAGACAGAACATAAAAGTCACTACACAGAACACTCATGGCTCCAAGTTGCAAATGACGTCACATTTGCGAGTAAAATTTGAAAAATGCAACAAAATAATATGGAACACTTTGCCTTTGGCATGTGAGGTAAAAATTCAATGAAATTAAGGCAGTTACTCCAGTTTTCATCATAAATATTTCTGACTTCGATTTATTTAAAAATTTATTGATGATTTTCAAGTTTAGCAACGAGAGACTTACCGATCACCTAGAGACCAATGTTTCGCCTATACCTATAATGCTTTGCGTGATAAACAATTAACTGGGCTGTCTTAGATACGCAATCACTACATTTCGCTAAGAGTTGAAGCCCATATAAACATGATGCCAGTCGCATCTATGAAACCGATATGTCAGCATCAACAGTTGCCGATGCGGCAAAAGTTGCGATGGCAAACGCAAAAGTTAAGAAACGAACTCTTGATTCAAATTTTAAGGAAGGAAACGTGAACGGTTGGGACTCTTTTGACATTTGAGGGAGACTTGTTTTAAAACTGCATTCAATGGCTTCTGTTATCTATGAACTTAGTCGAACTGAAGAATCTTTAGGTTGTGGATATCAAACAGCAAAAAACAGTGAACTATTTACAAAATGTGTATTTATAGTTATCTCTAATAGTGGAACTTAGTAAAATCTGGCAATAGCAGAACAATAACTGAAAATCTATGTGGCAAGTAACATTAAATTTTGGCAAGTAAATTTTGATTTTCAGTTAGATAATGACAAATTAGTTAAAATATGAACTTGGAGCCCTTACACTGGTCACCAAAGTTATTATTTGATAGTCTCAAAAGTATAACAGTCAAACTTCTAGATCTAGGAAAACTACTGCAACATCCTACCTGTCTCTCTGTAAGCGGACTGCAACAACAGGTTGGGCAAAGGTGATGTCCATTAGGATCTTCTGTTCTGGGTCCTTCTGTGACTCATCCCATACCAGCACTGACAGAAACACACTCATTTAGTTGAGTCAGAACACCATTCCATTAGGAAGGATGAGGTACATTGTTTTTAACTTCAATGCACGAGCGAAAAGATCAAAACTACTAACAATAAAAATAACAAGCACAATCATCTTCCCAAGACATCTTAAAAAGCAGTATTTATTACAGGTCTGCCAAGTGGACAAAGTGAGTGAGTTTAGTTTTAACGCCGCACCTCTCAGAAATTTTCCCGCTATATGGAGGCGGTCTGTAAAGAATCAAGTCCGGAACAGACAATCCAGTGATCAACAGCATGAGCATAGACCTACACAACTGGGATCCGGTAACATGTGTCAACCAAATCAGAGAGCCTGACCACCCATCCCGTTAGTCGCCTCTTACAACAAGAATGGGTTGCTGAAGACCAATTCTAACCCGGACCTTCACGGGTCTTCACTGTAAAGAGCTTCAATTGCAGAGATTACAGAGATGAGCAAACGTGTTTGTTGCCAATACAGGGTATACCCTGGTATTATGTTTTCCAGCCTTACATCAGTGACACCGTGTACACAGAAAAATTTTAATTTCCATCAACCAATTATTTTACAAGTGAAGCAATATAAGACCCTTTTACAATATTTAATCACATCAACATGTTCTACATTAAAAACAAACCCTGGCCAGGCATTTAAATATCTCATCAGCTAAAATTAAACAAGTCAGACAAAATGTGTTCCAAACTTGGGTTTAACATTTCCTTTAATTCAATCAGATTTCATTCAGAAAACAGGAGTAAGTATACTAATAAAAAATATGCACTTGACCAGTGTATAAATTAAAGCCCGTGCCACCTTCCTCGCCGGTCTATTTTTGTGAAGGACGGTCTATTAAATAAATAAGGCCCTCCTTTGGTCTGGGGAAATATTTGAAAAAATATATTTAACTGGGTTTTAACTTGATAGATCACATTATATGACACATATCCATCAAATTAGACCCTTTTACCTCTGTATTAACTTATATATTCATATGAAATTGGAAGTTTGGAGAGACGATAATAAATATTGTGATCACATCAATATTTGTGATATTTTATTGTTTTAGTTTTTGGGACTGGCTGTGTTTCTTTAGGACTGGTCACTTGTTTGGACAGTCAGTCCTTGGACAGGCCACATTTCAAAACTATTTTATACACTGACTTTACATTGTTGGGTTTCAGGAAGACATTATTACTGTTCCACAATTCACCTGGTTGAATAAGAGAGAATTCATGGCTTTCACTAAGCAAGCCATCATGTCTGGCTATCCCCCATAATACTGTTAACACAAAAGGTCACTAACCTGCTTTTTCATCAAATTTGGGAAGACTTCCACCACCAACAAGAGCCAGGATATTTGTTCGGAACAGCATCTCCGCCATAGCCACGCTGCCCACACATTCTACCCCTGGAACAAAACATCACAGTGTTCTCTACAATCATAGCTTTCATTTACTAGACAATCAGTTTTACAGAAGCAAGAAGTGGCTGTTTTTTTATAAGGAAGTGTTAAATGTAAAAACATCTCTGTTCATAACTGATTACAGCAGGGTTGTTCAACTGGGATTATTTTCAAATGAACTAGTTGTTAGTCAAGTATTACCAGATATAAACATTGATCAGAGATGATGACAGTGACTGGGCAAGAAGCCAAATGTATGTATTGACAGTGTACTGTAAATGCTACCAAATCTCAGTTTATATCTTTCGTTTCAATATCGGGTCAACTCATAACAATATATGCACACTGCCTTTCTGTAACCATGGTAACCTACCTTGAATAAGAATTATTGTGATTGCGGCTAATCTGGGTTTTTCCTTGGTGTCAGGGTATGATGCATTTAGAAATCTCAGAGTTGTTTTTTTACAAACATTTTAATTTCTGTTCTTATTTTGTGCTAACAAAGAGTATCGTTTAAAGTTACCACAATCACGGTGGTGTTGTACACCTTGGCATAAGATTGTGCATGTGCTTAAGTCTTCATCTTACTCAAACCCCTCTGTGCCCGTTAGTGATTAAATTTGGCAGTTTGGTAGTTGCCCTTTCTTTTCACCCAATCAGATAGACAAATTTTGTAATGACTTTCTCAATGAGCTGACTAGGCCTCTGGATCTTTTATCAGTCACAAACAGGTGCACAAGATGATAGGAGCTGAATGGACTCACCCTACTAGTGAGACCAACAAGTGCCATCTCATTATGACATTGAAATACATAGTACATGTGAGGTGAGGTGAAAGTGGGTTTAACGTCGTGCTTAAGAATATTTCGCTCATATGACGACGTGCATGCATGTGTATGTGTATGTGCGGCTGCTTGTACTAGCCAAAACTGAAGCTGGTTTTATAGTGCTAGCCCACCGTGATACCATGCCGCAGTGAAGCATGAATACCCCACACAGACACATTATACTGACTCCGAGCCGACCAGTCCTTGATGTGCCCATTAATGCCGAGCGCCAGGCAGGGACCAACAAGTACCATATTTTAACGTCTTTTGGTATGACGCGTCTGGGATCGAACCCACGACCTTCCCCTCTCCGGCATAGTACATGTATCCAGTTTACCAACTTGTATGGGTTTCTGCAGCTATCGTCTAATGAGATGGGATGATCGGGTTGCCATGGATACCTACCTTGTGACAGCTTCTGGGTGAGAGGATCCACATTGTAAATGCGGAGCCCTGACTCTGTGGCACATGTGAAGCAGCCTGCAACACACAGATGAGTGTTTACACGCCACAGAAACATGGAGCTGACTCAAGTTGACAATTTGCAGCATTTGAAACAAAACACAGACATGTGTTCACACTTTAAAACAAGACACAGACATGTGTTCACACTTTAAAACAAGACACAGACATGTGTTTACACTTTAAAACAAGACACAGACATGTGTTCACACTTTAAAACAAGACACAGACAAGTGTTCACACTTTAAAACAAGACACAGACATGTGTTCACACTTTAAAACAAGACACAGACAAGTGTTCACACTTTAAAACAAGACACAGACAAGTGTTCACACTTTAAAACAAGACACTTTAGACATGTGTTCACACTTTAAAACAAGACACAGACAAGTGTTCACACTTTAAAACAAGACACAGACATGTGTTCACACTTTAAAACAAGACACAGACAAGTGTTCACACTTTAAAACAAGACACAGACATGTGTTCACACTTTAAAACAAGACACAGACATGTGTTCACACTTTAAAACAAGACACAGACATGTGTTCACACTTTAAAACAAGACACAGACATGTGTTCACACTTTAAAACAAGACACAGACAAGTGTTCACACTTTAAAACAAGACACAGACAAGTGTTCACACTTTAAAACAAGACACAGACATGTGTTCACACTTTAAAAAACAACACAGACATGTGTTTACACTTCAGAGTAGAAATGATCAGGTTTTACCCCAAACATGGAAACAGTCTTAATTTATGAGAGGCTTGATAAAAACAAGTATACACTGTCCCTCAAAATTTGTTGTTCATTCAGTTATGAGCATATGTTTTATGGTCATATCACCAACCTCTCGTCAAACTGAATGCTGTGAATCTTGTAAACATGACATTAGATAATGATTTATGATCAACATGACCATACCATAGTCCTGGTTAAAGCGCAGACTCAGCACTCCTCTATTAGACATCTTCATGCAGTCAAAAGTGGTCTTCACAGCACGAACTGAAAGGTGAAAACTTCATATTTCAATGAGTTTGTTGGGTTAAGTCTTGATGCCTTTTAGATACACCATTGCAGGGTTTAACGCGGCATGCGAATATGCGTCTAGCATGCACAAATGTAGAGAATGGACGCAGAAAAAAAATTCACTGCATCCTGAGGGCCACATAATTTCATTCATAGTACCGACAACACATGCCTTTGCTAAGTGTTTGGTTGTTTCTTTCAGAGCAGTTACTGGCATCAGAGCAGTTACTGGGTTTGTCAGCACCATGAATGTGTTCCTGAGTTTATGAGTTTGACCAGGTTGATGAACATCACGCAATGACTCACAAACGTGGACGTATCGGGGGATGCCCAATCATTAGTTTCAAGAGTCCTTGTGGACAGTAGGAGGGCAGTGTGAAGTAACAGTGTAGAGAAGTGTACATTTGGATCATTTCTTTGGAGCCTGGAATGAATCATTGAGCATGTGGACTGATGGGTGAAATAATGCATGTGACTGCTCTGAAAGAAACAATCAAACACTTAGCAAAGTCATAGATGCGTTGTGAGTACTATGAATAATATTTTGCAGCCCTCTGGATGCAGTGAATTGTTTTTCTGTGTCCATTCTCCACATTTGTGCATTCTGGACTCACATTTACGCATCATGTAAAACCCTGGTCTCTGTTTCTCAAAAACTGATTTTGTTTGCATTTCAAGCGTACAATCTTTAAACATGGAATCAAACTGGAGATGAACTTGTTCTACTATTTTCAGTGATAGTTTGCAATGTAACAACGTGGAGTCCTACTTGGATATTATAATATAGTAAAAACACTTTCTTAACTGCTGCCTTCATTTCCTCAGACTTCCAGCAAATAACACGGTTATAAAACCAGTCACTCTGTTCTGTAAATTTATGTGTAGTTTAATTGACTGGCACTGTTAGCATGGCATCATTCAGTGTTCTTCATTCAGTTACCATTATTACGATAAATAAACTCAGGCCATCTGCTACTATAGCAGGGATGGGGATGCAGTTGTTTTAAGTTAGCCATTGGGCACCAGACAGATATAATAGGAGTGCTTTTGTGAAAATATGTGTCCCTGTACCTTCTGATGATCCAGTTAAACTTAAAACATCACAACAATTTTGTCATTTCAATTTACTGTTTAATAAATCAGTAAACATCAGTGGACCTGTAAACTTAAGTGCAAGAATAGTTCATCTTCCTTTGTCCAGGATCCATAAACAAACCCACAAACAATGCTATCATTCAAAACAGAATTTCCTGTTACGTGCACTGGCATTCAAAATGGCCACACCCAAGTTGTAAGATTGAGAGTGCCATCGATAAACAGTTTCATCAGGTGCAAAAAGCAGGATTTGAATCTTTTAAGTTTGTCAAATTTATCGCAATATCCATGTAATGAATGACAGTGAGTATTAGTCAAGCCACCAGGGCACAATGAAAATAGTTCATCCTTGCCATTTCGATATTTACCATACCATGCCACTCAAATTAAGCACTGTTTCAGTTCATGTATAGTTTTATGACACACTGTACCCTACCACTGACATCATATAAGAATGAAGATAAAATAACAATGGATTAATTTCATGAGGATGACACTCCTTTCTGCTGACTTTCTTCTGAGAAAAAGAATTAATTGACTTTTAATCATCCAGGATGAACAGCATTACAGTTCTATCAAAGTGTGTCAGTTTGATATGGAATGAATTTCCGAAGTTATACGAAGTTTCACATTGGTGATTTGCTGACACAGATAAGGTCGTAAAAACAACCAGGGAGAATCACGCATGCGAGGGGAAAAAAGAGTGATCATGGAATTAAATTTATTCCAATAATGTGTAAATGACAGTTAAGACACGATGTATTAACACATTTATCAATCCCGTTAAGAAATTAGAAGAGGCGCTGTATTCTGGAAAGATTTACCTGATCACAGTGACATAAGCAACAGACCAGCTGATGTAAATACCAGTGAACACCTTCGACAGTTTCAAAATATAAAATGGTTCCAGAGACTTTCCAGTATTGACCTGGTACTGTAAAGCAGCTACTTTCGATGCTGTCACATACTTAACAATGTTACATTTGTGTCGATCTAGGACGACACAATAACAACGAGATGTCGAAATTTGTATCAACAGGACTAGATTTCCTCAACTTGTTTTTGTTTTCATGACGGTATGCATAAAAGTTGGCACGGAAAATATTTCAGGACATTGATTTGTAACTATGAATGAGAGGAAGTTATAGATAGATTTTATGAAGCGACTAAAGTTTAAAAATAAGTTGTATCATTAACACGCATATGTGGATATTTTATATCAATTGTTTATTCAATGACTCATATTAAAATGGATGATTAATTTATTTGTTTCATCCGGAAGTTATCATTCTTTTTGTAAGCTCCTTTGAAAAATGGCGACGTCCAAGGGAGCAAATACGTACAATCGTCAAAATTGGGAAGATGCTGTAAGTTTACTCATTCTAATGGATTCCACTGACCATTTACGGCATAGAAAGAGCTTCTGTTATTTTCATGAGTGAATCAAGTGCCCACGGCGGGTCATCCATTTAAAACGATAGGTGTACGAAGGAGCTTATGCACGCGTGGATTCTCACAGCTCTAATCCCAGTGTGGCTAGTAGTGACTATACCCAAAAGACATGTCACATATTAATTAAGCGTTTGTCAGTTAGAATTCTTTGATGATGTTATGGACTATCTGTTTGGGAGTTCAGTATTCAGTTGTATTGAGCCACATACCTAATCGTAGGTTCACGAATCCAGAGCCGCTATGGAATATATGAGCCTCAATATTCATTCAAAGATCCAACAGCTCAGGTTAGCAGGTTAGAGTCAGAGGTAGTCTACCTTAACCCTAACTCCACCCATAATATACGTAAATAAATATCTTATACACAGATTTTCGTGAGATGTATCTAGATATCAGTAGGCTATTCCATAATTACCACTTATTTACAGTGTTTGATTTGTTTTACATGCTTTCTTTACCTTGAAATACCATTGACATATGTTACTCTGATACTATCATTAGCCTATTTACGACCTCCTTCAATGAGGTATCTAAGGAGTTATAGATATGAGTTTAAGGTCAAGGTTTCAAAAACCCATTTCAACTCTTTTATGGTGAGTTATTGTTTGTCAGCAATATGTTGGCTATATGGGTATGTAAACATTAATTCAAGTGCTTTTCTTTTGCAGGAATTTCCAATCTTATGTCAAACATGTCTTGGGGACAATCCATATATTCGAATGGTAAGCTTTGATTAAGGTTTTTTCCTTTGTCAGCAACATACCCATGCTTGTGGGTGTCACGAAAGTGGTAAACATGTGAGACGTCATCACTTTGGGCTTTCTTCCAACATAAAGCTGCAATGCTGTTATATAACTGGAATACTGATCAAAGGGATGCTAAACCCAAGTCATTCTCATCAGCAGTGGTGTGTGTGTGTTAAAGCATTCACACTTGTCACACTGATGCAGGTCATTTAAGACATGAAGACCGGGTTTGATTCCCATGTTTGCTGACATGGGCACAATGTATAAACTAGGCCCATTTCTTGTGTCCCCTGACATATAATATGCATTGCTGATTGATATTGCTAAAAGCGGCATGAACTAAACTCACTCATTCTCATCAGCATGCAGGTCATTTAAGACATGTAAAGTCAGACTGGTCAGGAATTGTTGGTTATTAGTTTTAGAGATGTCAAGATTTTAATAGAGGTGTCCTTCCTTGCCCAAACTATGCCACCATGTTTGCTGACAAGTATATTTGACTTTGATGTCCACCCAAAAAGCCTGTACTGGGAACAAACCTGGCGCAAGTGGAGATACATTTTTGTAGCGGTTTTCATCGCTTAATGCATTCTTTTTACTTATTATACTGTTTACTAGTTTCTAAAATTATGTTATATTTTCATCGTCATTCCACAGACCAAAGAAAAGTATGGCAAGGAATGTAAGATCTGTGCCCGACCTTTCACCGTGTTTCGATGGTGTCCTGGTGCTCGTATGCGTTTCAAGAAGACAGAAGTCTGTCAGACCTGTAGCAAAATAAAGAATGTCTGCCAGACATGTCTCCTGGACTTGGAATATGGTATGGAAATCCTTCATAAACCTTGTAACATTGTTGTAGACAACTTGTACTGCATTAATGAAGAACAGTAAAAGGGTGAGAATCTATGGTTGTCATAATGTCAACCTTATTTTGAGGAACATGATGTTTCGGAGTATATTCTTACTCTTTCATTACTCCTTCATTAATCCTTCCATAATTTTTCACCTTTTATGTGTATCACTTCATATGTATCAAGGGGCGGTGGGGTAGTCTAGTGGTTAAGTGTTCGCTCATCACGCCGAGAACCCAGGTTCGATTCCCCACATTGGTACAATGTGTGAAACTTATTTCTGGTGTTCCCATCGTGATATTTCTGGGATATTGCTAAAAGCGGCGTAAAACTAAATTCACTCACTCATGTGTATCAAAGAATTCATCAAAAACATGAACTGCGCGCTTCCCTCTTTCATGGCTATAGCAGTGTCAGACTCTTGTAACCCCAAATTGTCAATGGCCATCATTTTCAGTATATTTTAATGCCAAAATAGGAACCAATCCAAGTTCTGCACACAAAACTGTACAATGATAAAGTTATCAGATATGAACTAGCAATCAAATCTTTCCTTTGAAAGATGTACCAGGTTATGTATGTTTGCACTAGGTTTGTGATTCACCTTCTTGTTGTTTTTTGCCCATTGTTTTCAAGTTCAACATCTATGTTGTTTCAGGTCTTCCCGTCCAGGTTAGAGATGCAGCTCTTAAAGCTTATGACAACATGCCCAAGTCGGACGTCAACAAGGAATACTACACACAGAATATGGAACGAGAAGTGAGTCTTTGGCGTTTTGATTCATGTCAAACTACCAGTTCCAAATCTATTTAAATAAGAAGGTAATGAATTGATAATGTCCCACAATGCACCTGTGGTATTGATCAGACGATAGAACTTAGTCCAGGTGTGATATAACTGAAAAAGATTGTTCCAAACTACCTCCTTTCAGCACTCACCAACTTGTTCAACTACTTTATTCACTCAGCATTGTGGTATTTCAGGATATATTTTATAAAGTTTATGTTGCTTGGATGAGATTTCCAACTGTCATGACATCTTCAATTCACTAGTTCATTCTCTCACACATTTGTCCCTTCTTTAGTCATTCACTCCTTCCTTCCTTCTAGTATCCTTCCTCCATTTGTATGTTCTTCACTGCCCTCTCCTTTCTTCCTTCCTCCCAACATCATTCCTTCCTCATTTCCAACTTCACTCATTTCTCCTCACTCGCTCTTCTTCACTGCTTTCACCCAATCATCTCTCACCCCTCAGTCTTGGTACACACCCCCCCATTACTTCTTCTTTCTTCCTTCGAAACCTCACTTAACCCATAACCCTCCCCACAACTCTCACCCTCCCTACAACCCTCACGCTCCCCACAACCATCACCCTCCCCTCAGCCTCATCCCCCCACAGCTCTCACCCTCCCTACAGCTCCACCCTCCCCACAACTCTCACCCTCCCACAGCTCTCACCCTCCCCCCACAACCCTCACCCTCCCCTCAGCTCTCATCCTCCCAAAACTCTCATCCTCCCCAAACTCTCGCTCCCCACAACTCTCACCCCTCCCCACAACTCTCACCCTCCCACAGCCCTCACCCTCCCTCAGCTCTCATCCTCCCAAAACTCTCTCATCCTCCCCACAGCTCTCACCCTCCCCACAACCCTCACCCTCCCTCAGCTCTCATCCTCCCAAAACTCTCACCCTCAGCTCTCATCCTCCCCACAACTCTCACCCTCCCCCACAGCTCTCACCCTCCCACAACCCTCACACTCCCCACAACCCTCACCCTCCCCACAACCCTCAACCTCCCCTCAGCTCTCATCCTCCCCACAGCTCTCACCCTCCCCACAGCTCTCACCCTCCCCACAACCCTCACACTCCCCCTCAGCTCTCATCCTTCCAAAACTCTCATCCTCCCCACAACTCTCATCCTCCCCACAACTCTCACCTTCCCCTCAGCTCTCATCCTCCCCACAACTCTCACCCTCCCCTCCCCACTCACTCTCACTCACCCCTCCCTCTTCTCCCTCACCAACTAACTGGCTTGTTCACTCTCTTCTCCCTCACAACCTCACTCAATCCTCTCAAAATATCTCACTCACTCCTTTCTTTCTCACATGCTTCGTCATGGATTTAATGTTAATCTCCCTTGGTTCAGATTGCCAACAGTGATGGCACCAGCCCAGTGGGGGCACTTGCAGGGAAGGCCCAGGCGGCAAGCGACATGCTGCTGAAGCTGGCCAGGACCACGCCATACTACAAGAGGAATAGGCCACACATCTGCTCATTCTGGGTCAAGGGGGAGTGCAAGAGAGGAGAGGAGTGTCCATACCGGTCAGTGGGTGCCAGTAAATTTGATACATTTGTCTGTTAACAAACAACAGAAATATTTGAAAAATACATATATGTGGGATAGGTTTTGAGGTCTTGTGTTCAGTAAATGGCTGTTGTACTATTCAAGGAATTCAAAACACAATAATCTACCTCAGATTAAGACAACTGATTACGGCTACTGCATGTTTTGCTGTTGATTCTTTCATGTGAATTCTACAAGTAATATTGTTCAACAGTGGAAACAAATTGGGTTCTAAAATATCAAAAAGGATTTTGAACCTCACACGCTTTTCCTCTCTTCAAGCTGGTTTGTAGTATGAGAATTGTATTTACCATGCATACGTGTCTCAGTGTTTCATTCAACTACAGAACTACTGTATGTGAAGGCAGATTGGTTGCCCATGTTGAGCTTGTGATGACCGTTGCGTTTGTTTCCACAGTCATGAGAAACCCACTGATCCCGATGATCCTCTGGCTGATCAGAACATTAAGGACCGGTTCTACGGCATGAACGACCCTGTGGCAGACAAGCTGATGAACAGATACTCCAACATGCCAAAACTGGAACCTCCGGAGGACAAGACTATCACAACCTTGTATGTGGGTAACCTTGGCGACAAGGTGACGGAGCAGGATCTCAGGTCAGTGGGGCATCTGCTTTCTTTGTTTCAAGTAACCCATGTCTTGATTCAGCGTAAAACAAGCTGAAGTCATCATTCAGTTTCTTTGTTTGAAGTAACCCATGTCTTGATTCAGAGGAAAAATAGCTGAAGTCTTGATTCAGTTTTCTGTGTTTCAAGTAACCCATGTCATGATTCGGAGGGAAAATAGCTGAAGTCTTGATTCAGTTTTCTGTGTTTCAAGTAACCCATGTTATGATTCAGAGGAAAAATAGCTGAAGTCTTGATTCAGTTTTCTGTGTTTCAAGTAACCCATGTCATGATTTGGAGAAAAATAGCTGAAGTCTTGATTCCTTTGTTTCACATTACTAATGACATAGTTCAGAGTAATAAGTGCTGAAGTCTTGATTGTGTTTGTTGCAGTTGATCCATGTCTTGATTCAGATGTAAAAGTGCTGAAGTCTCTTATTCACTTTCTTTGTTCAAATTAGTCCATGTCTTGATTCTGGGTTGAAAGTGCTGAATGGAAAGGAAGTAATGATACAGTTCCATATGTAGCATTGCAAGACAGATAAACTGTAGCAGTATGAGCAGGAATCTGGTGGTCATGGACTACATTTTTAGTTGTATATGTTGAAGTATTTCGATATATGGATGTTTATATACTTGGACTGTATGTATGGCAATAAACTGTGATGAGATGCTTAAGTAGAGGATGATGTTAGTGCAGGTTACACTGTTATACGAGACCTGTGAAGGTCTGGGTTAAAATTGATCTTCAGCAACCCATGCTTTTCGTAAAAGGTGACTAACGGGATCGGGTGGTCATGCTCGCTGACTTGGTTGACACATGTCATCGTATCCCAATTGCGTAGATCGATGTTCATGCTGTTGATCCCTGGATTGTCTGGTCCAGACTCGATTATTTACAGACTGCCGCAACATAGCTGGAATATTGCTGAGTGCGGCGTAAAACTAAACTCAATCACTCACTCGTTATTAGAGTTGCTGGTTAATGTAGTTGTTATATCAGTGTGAACACATATTTGTTTCATATACTTTCATGGAAAAATAATTTCATATTTTTGCTCAGAAATTATATTGTTGTCTATTTCAGAGATCACTTCTACCAGTTCGGTGAGATTAGGTCTGTGAATGTTGTCTCAAAACAGCAGTGTGCATTTGTCCAGTTTACGGAAAGGCCATCATCAGAGACTGCAGCTGAGAGGTCATTTAATAAGCTCATCATCAATGGCCGTCGGCTGAACATTAAGTGGGGTCGGTCACAGGGCCAGCAACAGCTGACCGGCAAGAAGGAGGAAGATGGTCAGATGCTGGAGCCAGTGCCTGGTCTTCCAGGAGGTGTGTGGGCATCAGTTTCAGTTGTTGTTTTTTGGGGGTTGTTTTTGTTGTTTAATGCCGCACTCAGCAATATTCCAGCTATATGGCAGCGGTCTGTAAATAATCAAGTCCTTACCAGACAATCCAGTGATCAACATCATTAACATCAATATTCGTAATTGGGATACGATAACATGTGTCAACCAAAGTTGGCGAGCCTGACCACCCAATCCCGTAAGTCGCCTCATGGGTTGCTGAATACCCATTCTAACACAGATCTTCATCAGCTTCACTACAGGGCAGTGCTATAGCAGTTGTCACCCCATTAGTAGGGCTGTGTGGGGGTAGAGCATCATTGCAATAGGTACATGCTGAAGTCTTTGGGTTGTGTGGGAGGACATCATGATTGCAGTTGTTAAAACACTGAAGTAAAAGGGTTGTACTTTGGGTCGAGGGGTGCAACACCATTGCTTATAGGTATAAGGATAAACCAAAGTGTTACTGTAAGAAGAATGTGTGGGTGGAATACTTTTACAGTTGATGTGTGCATTATGTTAAGTTTGTAAATTGTCTGTTCTGGCTCTAATGTCTGTGTTACCTAATACTGATGCTGTGTATTTCAGCACTACCACCCCAACCCGAGGAACTGGGCAACAACTTCTTCAACCTCCAGGGCCCTCCCCCAGCTTTGCCGCCCCTTCCACCCAGGGGGATGATGCCCCGTGGGCCCCCACCTATGCCTCCGTTTGGCATCATGCCAAGAGGGCCACCACCTATGGGTAAGTTTGCATCAGTCTTTTCATCACTCTTTTGTAGGATAATGAATTGATATATGTAGGTTTGATCAGAGCTACAGATAACTTTTTGGGTCATTGAGTTATGTACTCGCTTGTGTTCATCTCAATTGGGTATCCAAATTTTCCTTTGAGTAACCAAATAAATTGTACTCACCTCACCTAAACTCAATTGGGTATTTTGCCATTTTCTATTAATTTTAAAAATATAATAAACTTTAAATGTTAGTGTTTGTAATTTATATTTGATCTGTAATATCAGAAACGATAAGAAAGACTGCAAGTTGCCAGGTTCATGTCCTGAAATAGAACCTCTCAATATACCTCAGTTATTTTATCTATCCACCGGTACGCAAGCTAAGAGTTGACATTTTTGTGTGTACGCATGTGAGATCACATTTATTGAGTATTTACAAAAATTCAAGCGTACTTGTACGCAATTGACTTAATAGTAATTGAGTTTTCACATAAATATTTGTGTAATTTACGCAGATACGCAGCTTATCTGTACCTCTGGTTTGATCCATCGTGAACCCTTCATAAGAGAGCATGGTGTAGTAGGCAGAGTGTCTGCCTGGAGACTGTGTCTGTTAGACTGTTTATGGATTGGTTTGGGTTGGTTTTAACAACGCTCTCAGCAATATTCCAGCTATATGGGGCAGTCTGGAAATGACCGAGTCTTTTATTCGGATATTTTCACAGTATTTGAATTTCACTGTGTCCACATCATCATCAGAGGCGGTGGGGTAGCCTAGTGGTTAAAGCGTTCACTCGTCACACCGAAGACCCGGGTTGAATTCCCCACGTGGGTACATTGTGTTAAGCCCATTTCTGGTGTCCCACGTCGTGATATTGCTGGAATATTGCTTTAAGCGGCATAAAACTAAACTCACTCACTCACTCATCATCATCATCATCATCGTTATCATCATTATTTCTGTTCTTAATGGGACCGCCTCCGTGGTGTAGTGGTTAGAGCGTCCGCCTGGAGAGCGTAAGGTCGCGGGTTCGATCCCCGACCGCGTCATACCAACAGACGTTAAAATATGGTACTTGTTGGTCCCTGCCTGGTGCTCGGCATTAATGGGTACAACAAGGACTGGTCGGCTCAGAGTCAGTATAATGTGTCTGAGTGGGGTATTCCTGCTTCACTGCGGCATTGGTAACCCAATTTCACCTCACCTCACCTCTGTTCTTAATGTAAATAACCCTTCTGACTGTTGCAGGTATGCGCATGCCTCCCCCTCCTCCGGGCATCATGCCCATCAGGCCTCCCCCTGGGGTACACATGAGGCATATGGTGCACTATCCATCACAAGACCCCACACGGATGGGGGCAGTGTCGTCAGGGAAACAGCCACAGCAGCAGCAGCAGCCCCCACCACAGCAACAACAACAACAGACTTAGCAGTCTATTTCATGGGGCTGGAATCATTAATATGTGAATATTGTAATGCATTTGTAAGAGCAAACATCACACGGTTGTCTTTTTTCATATCTATTCTTGTTTGTTAGATGTCATTGTGAACTTAAAATTACCCCCCCAATTTTTCTGTACTTAAAGTATAAACAATGCAATGAGGTTTTTTTAATTAACTTTCTTAATTCGGAAACATTGTCAAATTATTGATATTCAAAAGATGGGAGATGGGACTGAGGATGAAAATAAATGTAGGCTGAAAAGAACAACGCTGAATATATTAACATACTTTACAAAATGGTGCAAGCAACCTGCCTCTCTGTTTTCCTTAATTTGATAAATGTGCTTCCTGGGGGACAAAGTTTGTTTTGAATCCATGTGTGTTTGTAGATGAGACCACAACACAGAGTTGTAGTCAAATATATTTTATTTTATCTGGACTTCGGCTGCAACTCAACAACACTACAAGAAACAGGACAGTTGAAGAATGGTTGGGAAACAATACACACGGCAGCAACAAAGTAGTTTTGTCATAGTTGTTTTTCTTTATAAGTGGACGTTTCAATCATGAGTTCCCAAATTGACAGTGGTGATGGTATAGAGTTATTCCCCTTCTTGTGGGGTGCCATTTTGTTGAGTGCAGGTACAATCAGTGACATTCAAGTGGGATCTCTTGCTCCTCTGCTATACTTGTGTGTGTGAAGATCTGAATTTGTGGGGCTAAGTAGCTGTGGCTGTTCGAGGTGACAGTGTATAAAATATCTACAAAAATATAATGGTGCTGCCATGAGAATTGACGTCTTAATTTTGACTTTAAGATACGTGTATAAGGACTTCAGCTGCTAGTCATAATGCAAGGTACACTTGTATCAAGAATTTGGAAACCTTTCTTACCGACTGATTAGAAAGTTTACATGGTGTGAACTCCCACGGAAATCCTGTCAGATCTTCACACACACAGGTATCATATGGGAATGAAAGATCAGATTTTAATATGAATACGGTTCTGTTCCTCCTAGTCAAACTATTCCATGTATTGACAATGATAAGTCATTGAGCACTTGGAATGGCATGTGTTTTCTCTATTGAAAAGTGATGTAGTCGGTTGAGTTCATGTTCTCGTGTCCTGGTAGTGATATTGCAGGAATATTGCTAAAAGCGGTGTATAACTAAACTCACTCACTCACCCATGTACTCATGTCTTCTGTGTTCAATCCACACTGTTGGTTCATTCCTGTACCTAGTTGTGAGTTTTGAACCTTCATACACATTACAAGTGTTTTATCACCATGTTTCAATGATATAGTATAGGCTTCATCGGTTTCCACCATCAATGTTAATACAGGTTGGATGTTGCAAGACTCGGTCCCAATCCACAAAACGTTCGTAGCGCTACGACATTCGACATTCGTAAGCCCATGATAAACTATAGAGATACGACAGGTCATAATGTTACGAACACTTTGTGGATCGGGCCCCAGGTGCATGTTTCACAAGAAATCTCGTAGTCTAACCACTGGCTTCTCCTCACTGGAACCAGACTTGGGTGAAGAATCGTCCCAACACTACAAGGTAGCTGTATGTATTTATAAGTGATTGCAAAATTGTATTGTTTCCAAACCTGTGCTATTGAGTACTTAGACTGGTTTGTTTTTGTAACAAAATGTTTCCCAGTATATTCAGACTGCTGTGCCATCATATATATAAGGGGGGATGTTGAACATGGCAACCGAAACTTGTGTCTCATTATGTTTCGACCATTTTATTCATGCACATTGTTTTTAAACATCGTACACTTTGTATCAGAGGAGATACAAAAACCTGGAATCATTTCTTGTAAATACTGAAAAATAAAACTGGAAAACGTCCTTGTACTTTCTGTTATGATATAACCAACATCGTGTCAATATGTGGAATAAAATCCTTCATTTTTATGATCCAGACTATATAAAGAAACTTGTGTTATTGAGTCACTATCAAATAGTAATGACACCAGGTGTTTGCAAAAAGGTGAATGGTTCCTGTACGTCATATTGCTAATATCTCAAACACATGCAAAGGCAAGTCAATTGTTCATCACAAAACAGGGAACGTGTGTCCCTGATTGTTGTTGGTGTTTACGTTTGATCTTGTTTGTAAAGCCATTTATCACACACCTCACAAAATATGTTCACATGAGTATTAATCATGGAAAGATCATGGGGGGGGACACCTGAAATGGGCTTTACACATTGTACCCATGTGGGGAATAGAACCCGGGTGATGGTTACAAAAATGTGATGGTGTTATCCAGTACTTCCTGTTGATAACGTTGACCACTGAGAGTCCCAGGTACTGTAATGAGAACCAACTTACAGTCATATGAAACGCAACCCAACACCATCACTGAGCCACCACCATAGGGTTCAGCTGCATGGATCATCTCCTGGTTATATGCCTCGTTACGACTTCTCCATACGCAACATCCCGTGATGACACATCCCGACGACGTAATCGGACGAAGTGTCATCAGACCAGCAGCCTGCTTCTGATGGTGAGCGAGGGAGTGAGTGAGTTTAGTTTTACGCCGCACTCAGCAATATTCAAGCTACATGGCGGCAGTCTGTAAATAATCTAGTCGGGACCAGACAATCCAGTGATCAACAGCATGAGCATCGATCTGCGCAATTGGGAACCGATGACATGTGTCGACCACGTCAGCGAGCCTGACCACCCGATCCCGTTAGTCGCCTCTTACGACTAGCATGGGTTACTGAAGATCAATTCTAACCCGGACCTTCACGGGCTGCCATTTGATAACCCGTCAACAGAGCCCTCTTACCGGTACGACCTCGTAAAGCAGGTCGTAGACCACCTCTTACTTTTTTACCCTGTTTCACAAAGACCTCGTATATTTACACTGTGTCGTAAACAGCCCAAAATTTAGGACCCCGACTGACCTGTCGTAAATGCTTTAGGAGGTCGTAAGCACTACAACGATGGCGTCAACGATTATGGCACTGCAAGTGATTAAAACGCGCTAACAAAGAAGACCTGAGAAATTTTGAGACAGGTCGAACGTGCTCGACACTCATGTTGTTATCTAACTGTGCAGAAAGTTAGAGCCTCAACTGAACAAACCTACAAGGCGTTCACATGCTATTCCGACCTCCCTGCAAGTGTTGTGTACACAGAGGTATTTGGCAAAAGGGGTTTTCCTCAGTGAAATCGGGGATCTCCATGGAGTATCCCGAGCTAGTGTGTCAAGAATACTCCGCAACACCGCTAGTGCTCTGGCCATGTATCTGGACTTGATTAAAAAACCCTGGGTGCCACAGGGACATATGTCCTTCCTCTTCAACCCTCACTTTGAAGTCCAATAAAATTCTAAATATGTCACGCACACAAATATACTTCACAGTTTTGTATTCTGCGGGAAATTCCCTGTTTCTTGATACCATCCACTAAAATCTCATACAAAGCTAAAGTGCTTAAATAACCTTTCAAAATAGGCTTCATCGTAAATGTCGCCATTTTATACACAATACGAAATCACGATTCACAGCATCATTTGCTGTACAGTGTAGACAGTATGTTTTCAAATGTGAAAATCGGATAATTACTGGGAGTACTGAATTTCAAAAATAACATATTAATGATCACTGAAATCAGTTTTTCATGATATCACTAATGATAATCTGAAACGCTGCCGACGAACCTAGAATCGGTTTGGATATTTTCGAAAATATACTATCTAACACGAACGCCGAAGTGCGCTTTCCGCCATATTGGATAGTGTTTACAAAATCACGTCTCGCGAAGGCCGGTATTGTGACGCCTATTACATCACGGATATTTCACATAGTCAGCTGCGACAAATGCATCACTGAATTCCCCATACATTTTAAAATCAAATCACAGTTGGTCTTTGTTACCAATATCAACAGGATATTGGGTGTGAAAACAAACGCTGTGCTCGGAAGACTGCGCTACTGTAGTTTGAAATGTAAACAAAGAAAAAATCCGTACGGTCATTCCGGATGTCTTATAGTTGCAGTAGCCTAAAAGGAGGTTATGGTACGGTCATTCCGGATGTCTAGTTGCATAAGCTGCCAAGGAAGTTATGGCAGCAATTACGTCTAGTTGCAGCTGCAATGATTATGGTACGGTCATTACGGCTGTCTAGTTGCATAAGCTGTCAAAGTTTATGGTGCAGTCATTACGTCTGTCTAGTTGCAGTAGCCTCCAAGGAGGTTATGGTACGGTCATTACGGCAACTAGTTGCATAACCTGCCAGGAGCTTACCGTACGGTCATTTGGATGTCTTATAGTTGCAGTAGCCTAAAAATACAGATGGTACGGTCATTCCGGATGTCTAGTTATAAGCTGCCAAGGATGTTATGGTGCAGTCATTACGTCTGTCTAGTTGCAGTAGCCTCCAAGGAGGTTATGGTACGGTCATTACGGCTGTCTAGTTGCATAAGCTGCCAAGGAGCTTACCGTACGGTCATTCCTGATGTCTTATAGTTGCAGTAGCCTAAAAGGAGGTTATGGTACGGTCATTCCGGATGTCTAGTTGCATAAGCTGCCAAGGAAGTTATGGTGCAGTCATTACGTCTGTCTAGTTGCAGTAGCCTCCAAGGAGGTTATGGTACGGTCATTACGGCTGTCTAGTTGCATAAGCTGCCAAGGAGCTTACCGTACGGCCATTCCGGATGTCTAGTTGCAGTAGCCTAAAAGGAGGTTATTGTACGGTCATTCCGGATGTCTAGTTGCATAAGCCTCCAAGGAAGTTATGGTACGGTCATTACGTCTGTCTACTTGCAGCAGTCTCCAAGGAAATTATGGTACGGTCATTACGTCTGTCTAGTTGCATAAGCCTCCAAGGAGGTTATGGTACGATCATTACGGCTGTCTAGTTACATAAGCCTCAAAGGAGGTTATGGTACGGTCATTACGTCTGTCTAGTTGCAGCAGTCTCCAAGGAGGTTATGGTACGGTCATTACGGCTGTCTAGTTGCATAAGCCTCCAAGGAGGTTATGGTACTGTCATTACGTCTGTCTAGTTGCAGTAGCCTCCAAGAAAGTTATGGTACGGTCATTACGTCTGTCTAGTTGCATAAGCCTCCAAGGAAGTGATGGTACGGTCATTACGGCTGTCTAGTTGCATAAGCCCCCAAGGAAGCTATTGTACGGTCATTGAACGGCTGTCTAGTTGCATCAGCCTCCAAGGAGGTTATGGTACGGTCATTACGGTTGTCTAGTTACATAAGCCCCCAAGGAAGTTATGGTACGGTCTTTACGTCTGTCTAGTTGCATAAGCCTCCAAGGAGGTTATGGTATGGTCATTACGTCTAGCTGCAGTAGTCGCCAAGGAAGTTATGGTACGGTCATTACGTCTGTCTAGTTGCATAAGCCTCCAAGGAAGTTATGGTACGGTCATTACGTCTGTGTAGTTGCATAAGCCCCCAAGGAGGTTATGGTACCGTCATTACGTCTGTCTAGTTGCATAAGCCTCCGAGGAGGTCATGGTACGGTCATTACGTCTGTCTAGTTGCAGTGGTCTCTAAGGATGTTATGGTACGGTCATTACGTCTGTCTAGTTGCATAAGCCTCCAAGGAGGTTATGGTACGGTCATTACGTCTGTTTAGTTGCATAAGCCTCCAAGGAGGTTATGGTACGGTCATTACGTCTGTCTAGTTGCATAAGCGGCCAGGGAGGTTATGGTACGATCACTACGGCTGTCTAGTTACATAAGCCTCCAAGGAGGGTATGGTACGGTCATTACGGCTGTCTAGTTGCATAAGCTGCCAAGGAGCTTACCGTACGGTCATTCCGGATGTCTAGTTGCAGTAGCCTAAAAGGAGGTTATGGTACGGTCATTCCGGATGTCTAGTTGCATAAGCCTACAAGGAGGTTATGGTACGGTCATTACGTCTGTCTAGTTGCATAAGCCTCCAAGGAGGTTATGATATGGTCATTACGGCTGTCTAGTTGCAGTGGTCTCCAAGGAGGTTATGGTACGGTCATTACGGCTGTCTAGTTGCAACAGTCTCCAAGGAGGTTATGGTACGGTCATTACGGCTGTCTAGTTGCATAAGCCTCCAAGGAGGTTATGGTACGGTCAGTACGTCTAGCTGCAGTAGTTGCCAAAGAGGTTATGGTACGGTCATTACGTCTGTCTCGTTGCATAAGCCGCCAGGGAGGTTATGGTACGATCATTACGGCTGTCTAGTTACATAAGCCTCCAAGGAGGGTATGGTACGGTCATTATGGCTGTCTAGTTGCATAAGCTGCCAAGGAGCTTACCGTACGGTCATTCCGGATGTCTAGTTGCAGTAGCCTAAAAGGAGGTTATGGTACGGTCATTCCGGATGTCTAGTTGCATAAGCCTCTAAGGAGGTTATGGTACGGTCATTACGTCTGTCTAGTTGCATAAGCCTCCAAGGAGGTTATGGTATGGTCATTACGGCTGTCTAGTTGCAGTGGTCTCCAAGGAGGTTATGGTACGGTCATTACGGCTGTCTAGTTGCAACAGTCTCCAAGGAGGTTATGGTACGGTCATTACGGCTGTCTAAGCCTCAAGGAGGTTGCATAAGCCGCCAGGAGGTTATGGTACGGTCATTACGATACTAGTCATTAGGGAGGTTCCGATACTGGACGTCTAGTTGCATAAGCCTCCGAGGATGTTATGGTACGGTCATTACGTCTGTCTAGTTGGAGTAGCCTCCAAGGAGGTTATGGTACGGTCGGTACGTCTGTCGAGTTGCATAAGCCTCCGAGGATGTTATGGTACGGTCATTACGTCTGTCTAGTAGCATAAGCCTCCGAGGATGTTATGGTACGGTCATTACGTCTGTCTAGTTGCATAAGTCTCCGAGGATGTTA